TAAAATAAACAACTCAAAAAATACTTCTATAATTCAACGATCAATATTATTATTATTCGGTAAAAAAATTAATTCGATTAAAATATTACCTTAAGTAAAAATAAAATGAAAGTAATGATTGGTTTTAATTCAAGTAGGCATAAAATAATGTATAATAGGAAGCATATTTATATTTTCACTTTCTTAAGAGAACGCTACATAAGCATGAGTTGTCTCCGTTTTACAATTGCATAACATAGCAAATTGTATGTTCTGAAAAATCAATTTAACTCTGTTATGTTTAATATAAGAATAAATTCACCTATTATCAAATTTAAAAGAATATAATCTATACTCTGTCTTAAAAGAAAATAATCAGTTGGCTGACCGATTTACATCAATGACACGCTTCTCCACCAAATTCACTGTTAGCTTGATCACGTGGGGGGCTTGACACACCAATCCCATCATTCACGATGCACAAAAAGTGATTATTCTTTTGTGAAACAGAGTATAGTGAATCTCATAGATTTTCTTTTATAGTGTACTATATTTTACTTTTTTATTTTACTATTTTGTACTTTTATATTGTTAATTGATTCAGACAACACTTGCAGGTGTAGTGTCCTCTTAAGAGTAATGTTTGATAACACAGTATAATAGAATAATTCAAACTCAGAAAGTTTTGATGTAATTGTTATATACAATTTACTATAATACTGCCTAATATACCTACATAACAACCTAGATTATAGGCCCTAGAATGATTGAATAGAACTCTTTTTAGATAACATAGCAACAATAAGTCTATACATCCAAGACATTTATTTATGCACTCAGTATAAGTATAATTGTGGGTATAACATACAATAATCAAACTTCACAGTCATCGATTGTACCTATTTAAACAACTCATTACATTCTGTTTATGTTATGAAAAAAATGTTCTAAGATAATTTTAACAATAATGAATATTTGTCATGCATACCAACATTTACTATACGTTAACACTATATAGTATATACTATACTCTAAACTACCTAAATTATATTGAAATAATAAAAATAGTAATTATTGAAATTGATCAATGAATCTAGTCTTGACAGAATATATCCAAACACTATGGTGATAAAATAGATTACACAGAGGCACAGAATATTTTAATTCATAAGTTTGTATAGTACTTATATGGGTAATAAATGCATGTCTGTCATAACCAAAATGGACTATACTACATTATACATTGAGAAAAATAACATAACAACATGTGGGTAATTGGCAAATGTGTAATCATTTCATAAGATTAACTAAGTAGTAGATTTTATTATCAGACTGCCAAGCAATAATTTATTAAATCACAAGACGAGTATCTATCATGGCACAGTTTTAGTACCGCAATTTAATGTAATGTGCATATTCCTGACTCAAAATTCAATCAATAAAGGTAGATAGTAGATACAAAAACTTTTAAATCGGTTCGCCAGATAGTGATCCATAAAAAAAATCTCCAACTGATAACAAAATAAGCAATTGCCAATAAAATTTAGTATATTATATAGGATTAAAATATATTACAATATTTTTTTTTCTTGTGCAAATGGCATGGGCTCAGGTCCCCGTCATCACCCTTCCCCCCACATACCACAAAAACCTCATTGACATCATTCATGCCTCATTGCTTCAAAATCCCAAATACCAATCTAGGTGTTCCCGTATGGACTGGCCACCATTCGCAATAGGTCACATCGTCAAATTCGTCGGCCCAAAGATCGCGAAAAGTGCACGTTTTCCTGGTTTGCGCTAGGCAAATTTGAAATGCGCAACCGACAACGGACCAAGGTCACGGGAAATTCAAAATTAAGCATGCTGGGTGACACGTCTCCCGGAACTAAAGTAACGACTACCTACCGGGTGTCTGACACCAAGGCAACGGCGGGGGCGGAAAACGTGTACAAATCCGTCGTCAACGTTGTTTAGTGCGGACGACGGCGAGAAAAAGCGATACGACGAATATTGAATGTTGTGTAAATAAACGTGCAAATAGATAAAAAAAAAACAAAAAAAAAATGATACGCAGGTAAGTATGTAACTGGCGTGCGGTCTCACCTATTCATTTATCGACCAATAGTGGAGACAATGACCGTTATGACGACGTAACGGCCGACGATCGTCGTTCCGTTTGATTTTGAATGGCTAACTGCTGAACGCTTCCGGCCGTCCTCCCGATGTCTAGGCGAACGGACATAGCATAATATCCTAACGGACGTTTCGTACTTTCGTAGCGATGGTCACTGCCACCGTCGTCTGGTCACGTCGCGTACTGCGGGCGGAATTATTGTGAATCGTCGTAGTCGTCGTCGCCGTCGTCGTATGACTTTACGTGACTGGGACTCGGTCGAGCGACGGCGTATTCAAAAAAATGCAAAAGCCGTAAGGGCTAAGGAGTAACGAAAATATTGTAATTTTGTTATTATTTTTCTTGTTTTCGTTATTCTGTTTTTGTCCTACTGTTGTCTGTACGAACTGCTGACCGTATACGCTAGATGCTGCTAGCTGCTGCTGTCCAACGACGGTTGGTATCGGTCGGCACGGACTACGGGGTAACAGCGCTCGCCGATTGGTCGGCGGCAGTCACTGGAGATTGTGTTCGCCGTTCGGGACGTTTTCGTAACCACGATGTTCTGGTTCCGGTTGTGCAGTGTAGCCACTCGTCGACCACTCCAAATTCCCCGGGCGGATGAACTCCCTGGGGTCACCATTTGGAAAATAGTTGTTATTGTTGTTGTTGTTATGTTGTCACTTGTCGTCACTCGTCCGTTGAGCCATTTTACAAAGGGCGATGTGGTGACTGGTGAGCCGGTGAGGTACGAGAATCGGAAATTACGTCTTTGTAGTTGCCAGTTGGTTAAATGCCTGATCGTGGGTGCGGAGTGGCCGAGTGGGTGATCCGATAATTGCCAAAAGCAACCGTTACGTTGATCTCTAAATTACTCAAAATAAAAAAATGTTGTTACCTTGGACCTATTTTCTGTGGCCTCTAGAAATTAGAGTCAGAGCATAGACGTACCTAATGTGATGAATTTATACGGGGAGCTACCACCTATGTTTTGGGATTTCAAATGCACGATATGTATTTTAAAAATATTTTTTGTCTTTTTGAAATTACTAGGTATTATTATAAATTACGGTAGGTTAATTTAGTTTTTGCCGAAAACATCGCATATTTGCAAATAATATATTATTTCTATTAATTTTCAAGTGCCTTATCGTTGAAATGGCAGAACAGTGTGAATAGGTCCTTTGCTCATGGTAAAAATATGTAGATAATAGCTTAAAAATATTTTAAAAATGTCATTGTGTATAATGAAAAGCTTTAATAATAAGTATATTAATATAGGTAATAATAAAGTAATTATACTATTAATATAGTAATAGCCTTAATAATTATTAATATTATTAAGGTTCTCTAGTATATAGTGTAAGTATAAAGTATATATTTATGTATTAACTATATAGTTTTAGTATAAGTGTTGAGTCCCTATGAATAATGTAAAATCCTAACTGAAAATAGCTCAAAAAATGTTTGTAACTATATTTTTGATTTTTTTTAACTGGTACCTCCATGAACCTTAAGTTTTTTGATAGTGCTAAAATTTTCTTATCGACAACTGAAAAAAACTAAAATAATCGATTATTGTTATGCCCATTAATAGTTTTAAAAAATTAAAAATATTATTTGTATAGTAATATAAATATCGGGGGAAAAATTTAAGTTTCTAGGGTTATTTGGTTTTGAATTATACCAAAAGCTTATAGTTTTGGGTAAAAGTATTCATTTTCAATACTTTTTTTTTCATTGTTATTTATAATTAATTAAAAATATATTTTGAATCTTACTGCCCAATACAGATGATGACATAAGTATCACAGAAAAAAAACATGTCAATGTAAAATACATTTATCCATTGTTCCACTCAGAATCTTTAGTATGCATTGAAAAATAACTATTAGACGTATAATAACTAAAAATACAATAAATAACTAAGAGTTTTCCAAATCTTGTCAATCAGATTATAAATAATCAATTTATTTATTTGTTTGTCATATTAAAAATATTCCAAAAGTATATGATTCAGTATTTCAGTGATTTTTATATTTAATAATTACCTATCTTCCTATATTTTATTTGGAAACAAGTTGTTGTACACAAAGTTAACTACAATTATTGATTTTCATAGAAAAAACATAACATAATTTAACAAATATAATATTTTATATTTTATTTATGTTTTCACAATTTTAGGCATAAGTATTTATCGTTATACTTTATAATTACATACTATGATATAAAGTACTTATAGCGACTATAAATATTATAATTATTAATTAATAATTGATGGTCTTAATAAACATTAAGCAGAGGTGATCAAATATGTCAGTATTAGCTGTACAGTTAAGTAATGTTTTAATGAAGTATAATATAATAAACAAATAATGGACATAAATGAAAGGCAAAAAATATCATGGCTAACACATAAATAAACATCACTATCAAAAACAAATATAGCTTTAAATATTAAAATATAAATCACATGTAAATAATTAATAAAAAATTGTAAATATAACATTTAATGTAATCATTATTTGTATCATATTCCACAAATTCAAGGCTGTTATTTCTAGTATTGGTGGTCAATAATTTGTTTTTTTTTTGATAAATATAATTATATATTTATCAAATTTTAATACATCTTGGATAGGACTATTGGAAACCGACAACATGTCCTAAAGTTACAGCCTTGTTTGTAATAATTTATAAATTCCACAAAAAATATATTCTTATGATCTATAGTTTTATATTTATTTATAAACTTATCTTCAATAACAATTATCATCCTTCAACAAAAAATATTTAAATGTTAAAACAGTTAAATACAAATTATTAAAATAAAAATACGTATATTTTTAACTAACTTCCTATTAAAAATATAATAATTTTAAATTGTTAATTTATTTCTATATTATCATTTTTTATAAGTAAGTATTAACTATTTCCAAAATTTAGGTCCACTTTTTTTTTTAACTCGTAAGAAATAAGCTACTAACTTGAATTGAAAATGTATTGAAATTATTAAAATAAACTTAGGTATATTCATATTTTTCAACAAAATAAAAATTTTAATTAGGTTTGATTAAGAAATGTTGTATTTTTATTATTAAATTAAAAATAGGAATATCATAATAATCACAGTAATAGAACATAAAAATTATTTAAAAAATTGAATTCTTTTACATAGCATCAAAATGAAATTTATGTGCTTCCTGTCGTTTTTCAATACGATCTTCTTGTCGTTCTTTGAAGTACAACACTCCAATAATAAGTAAAATAAGTAGGCATGTTCCTGCAAGCGCAGCTGCACTTTGAAATATTAAACGGCTTGGAGTCACAAATAGTTTGGCATTCCATCTACTTGGATCATTTATTGGATTAGGAATTACAACCATTTGAGAATTTGGGATAATTTGTGTCCAAGAACGGGTTTCATTTAAAACCGAAACAGTAAGTTCATCTACAAAGTTAGGAGTACGGCCGAGTCCAAATATTGTATAAGGCAAATAAAGAGAATAATAAGCAGACTGGGGTAACTGTGTAGCTATGCCTTGACGTGGATACCCATCTTGTGTGGTAGTAACATAACTAACTTTTGGTCCAGGCAAATTAGTACCAAATGTACGAGATTTTTTTCCCAATCGACTAGGTAACATTTCATACTTGCTATTTGTCAAACCAGTAACAACCATTACCTATAAATAAAAAAATATGATAAACAAACAATAAAAATATTTTTAAAAATGTACTTACTTTCAAAAAATTTGCATCGTAGTCCAAACTGTTCTTAAAAGCTGACATATTGTACTCTCCATTACCTCCACTGACCAACAACACATCTAATATACCATTTTGAAAAAAATCATAAAATGCTCCCATAATGTTGTTATTGTCACCATTCATTGCCTGAAGTAAGTCCCATCGAACAACAAAAGTTCTGTCAAACCCATCACAGCCTGTTGTACATGCAACATTTTCCATTAAGATTACTTTTGTTTTTTTTAAACTGCCTCCAAGACATAATGTGCCTAATAAATCAGGGTAGCCATCCATATTGAAATCACCAGGGCGCACCGTGATTGTTTCTAGGTATGGTACATTAGGCATTGGCGGTACAAATCCCCAAACACTGTTACCATTATGGAAATTTATTCCCAAATTATACCAACGAGTTGAATCATAAAAATAAATAGTGCTGTTAGTACATTGTGCATCAAAACAAACAGGCACAATATGATCCATGCGTCCCTTAAGTTGTAAATCCATGAAAGCAGTTTGACCAACATTTGTAACCTTCAAATTGTCAGGAAATGAGATGGTTTGGTTAAAAATGAATGCACCAACTTCAGAATCAGAAAGCCACACTTCATATCCTTTTGTAGTTGTTAAATATAAATCAGGTGCAACATCTGAAAATAAATATACAAATGAGTATAAACTATTACGTATAAATTAGGAAACAATATTCAAGTTAAGCAAGTAAATAAGAAGATAAATCTTCCATTGGAATATTTTTTGATATTTTTAGTACCCCTCATTAAATTATTTATATTTCAAAAAGAAAAGAAAATTACCTTTTATTCAAACATCATATTATTTTGTTAGTTGTTACATTAATTTAGCTGTGCTTCAACTTCATGGGTGTTTAAAATTGTATTTAATATTTAAAAAATAATATTATACTTGAATCATTAGATATCAGATGGTAAATTTTTAATAACAAATTTAATAAGTAACTTTAATCATCAAGTAATTAACTATGAACAAGAAACAAAAAAATTAATGTCTAATGCTGGGTTGCAGTAACACTAAACATTTATTGAATTAAGAGTAAGCTTATGGTCCATTGAAAATGATTTAGTCTCCCATGATTGGTCCATTAAATTTTACTAAACTATTAAATTACAGTGGAAGCCGTTTATAATGACATTCAAGGGACCAAAGAAAATAGGGCATAATAACCAGTCGTCATTATAACCAAAATTACGAAAAAAAAATTGTAACTTCAATGCATATTATTATTTTGTTATTATTTATTAATGCAATGTAAACTATAGAAAAAATGTAAAGATAAAAACATTTAATTATGTACTTACATATTTAAATTCATTAATTCAATTATAATTTTAAAAAATCTGTTATTTTAAGTTGAACTTTATTTGAATAAAAATCAAATATTTTTTTTCTAGTTCTTCAAAATTTACCTTTGGACTTATGTTATTCAGAGCCATAAAAATGTCACTATTTTTCCAATATAACCAAAAATAAACGTTATAACATCCATATAATCGTTATATAGGCATTATAATCAACGATACAAATCAGTACATACAATATAGGAGTTTTGCCAGGACTTTTAATTAAATGTCATTACACCCAATATGTCATTACAACCGATGTCATTATAAACGGTTTCAACTGTAATTCATTTTCCATGCAACCCGGCATAAATGTTACTTGGACTCTAAGAACTAGAAATAAGGTTGTATTTAAACTGTGGTCACAATGTGTATCTAACGTCTTTAGTCAAGAAAATCATCATCTAGCGGAAAACTAAAATAGAAATCAGGATATATAATTATGGTACATAATATTTGATCATTGTAATAACTAATAACTCTAGATAAAAAAGATAAAATTAATTGTTCTGGTAATAAAATAACAAAATAAGGTTAGGTTGGAATATAAAGAGTAAGACTCTACAGTCTACAAGCATTTTGAACATATGAAAGTTTGAGAATTTAATTGCTTTTTTGTTGCCAATATGACAACTAAAAAGTCACTAAAAGTGACAGATAATTTTAAAAGACAAGGGACCACTCATAATATCAATAATATACGATTACAAATATACTTGTAGGTAATTGAAGACATTTATCTCAAAGAAATACAAGACAAAATATACAACGGAAATATTGGATATTATTGTGATAGTTTAATCAAACTATATGGATAGATTGATGTTGTTTTTAGAAATGTTTAGGTAATGCTTTAAATTATAAATCTACAATTAAAACTGTTATTAAGATTGTTCTTCAAATTTTAAAAGGTGATAAAAAATTACCCCAATTTAAATTAAATTTATTGACATTATTTATATACTCTGTTTAAAATAAGAAATGCCTAACTGTTTCAATAGGGGTGTCAAACGGGTGTTATCTAATTCCACCGCTAAAAACTGGTCACCACCGTAGGCGTTTCTTACTTTGAACAAAGTATGTTGCGGTCGTTATCGTAACGACCGCGGCGTCTCTATCGACGTCAGCGAGATTGCGACCGACAACCGGTCTGGCCGCCGCCAGCGGCGGTGTTGGCAGGGCAGCTTTTGCTTGACCGTCGTCGCCGCAATATCGCAGCAACTTTTATATAGTTAATCGTTTTTGTACAAAATAAACATCAAAAATGAACCTTAAATCTATTCCTACACCTACAAGTATAGCCCAAAACCAGAAGAATAAAAATAAAAACTTTATAACAGTTATAATTCTTATTGTTTTCTTGTTAATTATTTTAAACATAAGATAATCAAAATACAACTTAAATGTAAATACAATTTGAAAAAACACATAAAGAAGACAATCTAACACATTAAGTAGTTTGATAAGTAAAAAAAAATTATTTTAAAACTAACCTCCACCTATGTCTACAAATCCGTGTGATTGGGGAATTCTTATCTCTTCAGAATTGTAGTTTTCCATTGCCACTTCCGTAAAGTTTCCAGTTGAATTGAATAGCCAAAACATTCTTTGTGTTGTACCATTTGACATTTTTTTGACACCAAATAAATCTACTATCATATTACTGTCATAGTTAATAACCAAAGGTTGATCAATAATTGTGAAAAGCGGTTTATCTTCATTTGGACATGCCAAAACATTTAATCCTCCCCACAGTATATGAACATCTAAATCATTATTCTGTTTATTTGGTGAAAACCAATTGGAAAACCCTCCTGAACCAACTGTTATGTTTTTTACAGTAACCAGTAGATCCATAAGAGCATCACCATTGAAGTCTCCGGGCACTACCGATGTTATTTGATGTTTATTAAACTTGCATTTTGTTTGTGTACCAGGCTTTAAGAAAGGTTCAACATTAGAACCAAACATAATTTCAATAGATCGACCTTGATCTTTTAGTACAAACATATCTGTAAGTTCATCAGAATCAAAATCTCCAAATGCAGCAGGTTGTCCTTGAACATAGTATCCAAACACAGGATATGTGATGTCAATGGAGACACATGTATGACTTAAAGCCACCAATAGAAATATCTGAAATCAAATTTAATTAGTTAAAAAATTAATTAGTTGTAGGCAGTAATTCAAATATAAGAGTAAAATCAATATGTATCTATGTAATTTACATATTTTAGTTTTAAAGCAACTTATAAGTATGTGTGTATATTACATTTAAAAATGCTCATAACTCGCTTCAAAATAAATTTTTATTGAAAATATTATTAAATCTATGAACATTATTTGAGTTGTACATTTGAATACAATTAATAAATATTTATAGTAATCAGTATGTAGATTGTAAGTATGTACCATTCACAAGTAAATAGTAGTAAGCTAAATTTGTCTAAATTACAATCAAAACACATCCAAAATACCCAATGTAATATAAGACTAGTATAAATAATAAGAGATTATAATTATAAAAACATATTTTACATTTTTACATTAAGTGAATATAATAGAACATTTCAATTGATTTGTGTTAACCAGATATGTAGAACTTTTGATTTAAAAAAATTATGAACATTTTTCTAAATCTAAAATTGACAATGAATCTCATAGTTATGAAATTTTTTTTTTTGGGAAATAAACAATCTATACAAGTAATGAGCAATAATATTTATTTAATTGATTATAGACAATTTATTTACTAAAGTACTTAGAGTAAATTTAAATCAAGCATCATAATATACTGTGTAGGTAATGAGCATTTGCAAATATATCAGTTATTTATCAATATGCAATTGTACTTAGCCATTTAGGTATAAACTATAATTTAAAATGTACATGGTTATATTGTAATACTTACACCCGCCGATATCATGATGTCGTCGATGAATGAATATGTGACAATTGTTTTACAATTTTCAACCAATCTGCTGAATTAACATCATTACAACAATTGTCTAGATAACCGGTTACATACTGTAGTGGTACATACAATAATGGATTATTCCTTAAAAATATGTTTATTATTAAATGGATAGTTTTGAAAACACAATGTAAAAATATTATACCTTTAATGATTTTTTTAATGCAATTTTTTAAGTTCTATTCGTTACAGATAATCAGTATTAGTGACTTATGTGTTGGTGTTATACTGTAGGTCTGTATTACAAATGTACAATTACCTATTAAAACATAACATTTTAGTATTTAACACATCAAAATACGTGAAAAAAAATTGATGTGGTTAATCAATAATCACCTACCACTATCACTATCTGTTGTTTTATTGTGTTCAACAGTGTTAACAATCATCGTCATCAATGTTTATATTATTATCATATTATATGATCAATTTTATCATAGAACAATATAGTATGTTATAAAAGCGTCATAAGCCCACAGTTTTGAATTTTTTCTCGGTGTTCTGTGATGTACACTATCAACTACTACATTTTAATACTACGATTCTATGAAAATTAACAACTTAAAAATTGTTTAAAACCATTAATGAAAATAATATAGTCTAGTATAATTTATCTTAAAACCATATATATACAATCATACAGATATACAACTATGTATCATATTATATCTGTGTTTAAACCTTTAAAACGAACAAAGACAAATTTGATATATTTGTATATTTTGTTATTAAATTTGGCAAATATTTAGTAGTTACCTTTTACTGTTAAGACTTAGGACTCATGAGTTAGGTATGATAAAAGCAGTTTCAGTGAAAAATTAATAGTTTGAAATATTAAAATCTTTGGAAAAGTTATAAAAATGTTACTAATTTAAAAAAATTGTTTAGGTAGTCATTGTTCTGTGATAGATACCGCTATATAGTGGAGTATGGACACTCAAACTAGATAGCAGACAGCCAAAGGGAATTCAAAAATGACCATTATATAATATGGACGTGATATAGGGATAAATAAATTAAAAGCCATATTGCATACAAATTATGATTTATCACATAATAATTAACATGTAGGTACATAAGCGTATAAAAAATCGGGTAAGTGGGGGACGATCTGCTGTGTTGCTGTGTAGTAGCCTGTAGCCAGTAGCTTACAAGTTACAAGTGGGTCACTTTAATAGATGTTATTAAATTTGAATGTTATGATTCAAATCATTGTATATTTGTATACGAAAAACGATTCTGAGTGGAGACGGTGTGTTAGTTTAGGATATTTTATATTATTATTACTTATTAGTTATTACTTATTATTAATATGGTAGCCGGTAAGTTGAATTAATATTATTCTTAAATTATCAGTGATGCTGGAAAAATATTAAATATACCTATGTAAAATTGAGCTGCTTTGGAACCGAATTACAACAAAATGATAAACATTATTCTTTGTGTTAATATGCTATTTTTTCCAAATTTGAACTTAAAATGTCTGTAAAAAATAACTGCATTCATATATATTTTTAGTTAGGTATAGGAAAAAACTGCTTAAGATTGTTTTATATTTTTAATGCTTAGCTATAAAAATTGAATATTTTGTAAATTTTTAACTATAAAATCATTTTCAATTTGAAAAATTTTATCAAAATTTGAACTTTGAATGCTTTAAAAAAAAATCGTGCTTACCTATGTATTTTTAATATTTTTCCACCGCTATTGTAACAAGTTATCAAGAGTCTTGTATTAAATTTTCATGCTTTTCGGCTCAACCAATTTTATTGACATTTATAAAAATAAATTTTAAAAATATGAGAATTTGAAAAAGCTTAAAACGAGTCAAAATATTTTAAACATTTCATCAAGTATATGAATTGGCGAAATAAACATTTGGTGTAAATTTTAAGTATTTACAGAAATTCGTTTTTGAATTACAACAAAATAAGAAAATCGCTACAAGAGAAATTGAGTCGATTAAATATCCAACGTTGTAAAAATTTCAACTTAAACGCCCATACAAATTTAATTTGACTTAACAGTAAATTTTTTTTTTTTGATAAAGGTAGACAAACTTGTGAGGAATCTTTCATTACATTTTTAAATCTTAGATATAAATAGAAAATTTTTATCAATTTGTAACTAAATATAGTTTGCTAATTTTCGTGATTTTTAAGAATTTTATCAAAATTCTATGTTTAAATGCTCACAAAAAAAATTGTGGATTAATTCTCAATTTTTTTTTTAATTTCCATTAACAACAGCTTACAGGGAACCTTGCATTACCTTTACAAGCTTTTTAATCCATCGAAAATTTTTTTATCAACCTTAGTTTAAAAAAAACAAATAATCGAAAATTTCATGTGCCTATAAATAGTTCAACACAAATCAAAATATTTTGAAAATTGTATGGTGTATAGAAAATGCTTACACAAATATTCAGTGAAAATTTCATGTATCTACAGTCATCTTTGTTAACGTTACCTACACTAAAAACCAAAATCGATTTTTTTCAAAAAATGTTTTGGCCTAAAAATTTCCGCTTTTAATCAATTTTTTGTTTGTTTTTCTTGTTGCTTTTGAAAACTATTGGAATTTTAAATTTTAACCTCCCGAATGCACCAACTAGATTCCCTTTCCTACCAGAAAAGTTACTGTTGAAGAAAATCAAAGTATTTTTAGTACTAGAAACCGTGATGACAGACACAATAAAAAAAAAAATATATATATAAAACATATCATTATAAAATCAAAACATCGCTCAGAATCTAAAAGAACTGGGTTTATATATTTTTTTGAATTTTTGGTTACATAGATAACTAGTTACGTACAAAATTGTTTTACATTTTCAATTCTTCGCTATAAAAATTGAACATTTTATAAATGTTTGACTACAAAATAATTTGTACCTACATTTTGAATTTAATAAACGTCGTTAAAAATTAGAACTTAAAATGCATTAAAAAAATTATAATGATATTATTTTACTACTGCTATTCTAACAATATATCAGGAACCTTGTATTTAATGTTCAAGCTTACTAATCCAACGAATAACATTTTATTGACATTTACAGGCATTTAAATTGTTGTTATAATTGCAGTTAAGCTCTCATTCAATTTATTTCTGAAGCATGTATTTCAAGTATGTACTTACCTATGTTCATTTCACCATCACATTTAAAACGATGATTCATCTAGTCCCCCCCCCCAAAAAAAAAAAATTGAAAAATTCGTAATTAACTATGTTGGCAACCTCAAAGTAATGCAATAGCTGTTCTAATGTTGTCTTTAAAAATAAAATAAAAATGTTTGATTAGGTTACCTATGAGACATATCTTATGACGGATTTCTTTAATAGATTAAAGTTTATTATACAATTTAATATTGAGATTCATACAGTAACAATATTTATAGTAAAAATTTAACAATTTTAACTGTCTTTAAGAGCTTTAATGCTTTATATAAATATAAGGTAATATATTTTGTACACAATTTACATACTATTAATACAATCTTAATTTTAAATATTACTTATTATTTTTATTATTTTTAATATACTTTAAAATAGTTATCTTATATAATTCAAAATTTGTACAGTTAATTATCATAAGATTAGCGAATATAAATAATGAAGAGAAATTTACTGTAAAAATAATAATAAAGTAATAAATAAATTACACATAGTTTATTAAAATTTATACAGGTGTAGTTTTTTCATAAGCAGCTAATAACAAACGAGAAGAACCAACGGAAGTATAACTTTCACCACTTGAACGTTGACTTACAGTACTCATAGGAGTACCCGGTAATGACACTCTTTCCTGTATAAAATCAATGATTTTTAAATGATTTATAAAATAATAATATTTACATAAGCTATGTAGTAAATATCAAAACCAAACAATAATATAATATTATTTACTTGAGATATTGATAGTTGAGGCTTTTCATTTTGATGTGTAACCAGCATTCTTGCAGCACATTCACCATAACACTCAGCATCTTCTGCACCATGATTTAGTATAACATTGATTTCTTTTTCTAGAAAATAGAGAAACGTATAAATTTATTATTTATTATTTAATAGAAAAAAAAATGTATTAAGTTCTTACTTTCAACTATAGCAGGTTGGGGATGTTCAACTTTCTTTTCAATACTTTTCTCTGAATCCAATAATGGAGACATTTTTTCTGCTTCACTATCTTCATCCTGAGTCTAAAAAATAATGAAAGTTTGAAGTATACTCAACTATATAATATGGTTATTACTTATATTTGTATTATAAATATTTATCACTACAAGGTAATATTATAACATTATACAGTTGAATTCGCTTATAACAATCTTCAAGGGACCTTGAGAATCAGATAACATACATAATAATAATAAAATACAATCATATATTCAAACTTTGTTATATAATGGTGACAAAACATACTATACGTGAAATATAAAACCAACCAAGTACATGGTTGGGAATCGTTTTATCCAGAATATTGTTTGTACATGGCATCATAAAAAAGCAGACTCTACCATATTATAATCTAAGTAACACTAAATTGTTTACCTCTTCCTCAGGATTTGCTTTTTCATTAATTACTCTCACTTTGTCTTTACACTTAATTGGAATTTTAGGTTTTATTTCATCTTTATTAGAACCTTTCGATGATTTATCACTGATAGATGCGGCTGCCTAAAAAAATTTGAGGTGTGTTAAGTATTAAAGGAGAAGATAAATTAATAATTCTATAAAACATACGTTAGAACTTAAAGAATTATCACTAAGGCTTAATGATTCACCATGCGAATCTAGGCTGCGAGATTTTTTTCTGGAAAGCCTGTCTAAACTCATTCTGTAAAATAGTATTTTAAAATGTTATTTAAGAAAAGAAAATAATAATTTTATCTATAGACATACATGATTAATTTATATTCTAATTAATTCAATTTTTACATGAATAACATTCAATTTACTTCATTTCTTATTAGATCAAAAAAAAAAAAAAAATGACTCAAAGATAAACTTTGAAATAAAAATTAACAAAGAGTAAAAAAATTAAAAAAAAATTAATATAAATTATTTCGAATTATACATACTTCGACATAGTGAGTCCAGCACATTGGCTATCAGGTGAAGACTCTAGTAAAGGATCACTTGGAACTTTAGTGGCATTACTATATCGTCGAAAATTTGGACCATTGAGAGCTTCAATCAAAGGAACAGTTTCGTAGCCGTAAGGAGTACGTAGATCAATCTATAAAGTTAAACATTTATAAAAATATTTACTTCAAATTTTAAACATGAATATTATTACTCTATGATTATTGTCCAATGTTTTTTGTAAGGCTTTTATTTGTAAAAGAGCACGAAATGGAACTCGGCATATTGGACAATTATTAGCTTGATATCGTAAAGAGTCAGCACATGATTGACACAAACACAAGTGACGACATGGCAAGATTAATGTGTCACGCATATCACTCATACAAATTACGCACTCTGAACTACCATCTTCTAAATCTTCATCTCCAGAATCCTTTAAGTATAAATAAATAAACAAATAAATAAATAAATTTTAAAAAAGTAAGTTGGTATACTAACTTTTAGGTCGGGTGTTTTATTTTCAATGCCATATATTTCTTGCAGCAAGTAGCATAATCCATCTACAAACAGTTTTTGTTTTAAAGCTTTTAAAATGTAGGAACCATCAGAGTATTGTTCAACAACTGCAATTGTGGTATGCGACTGTCGTGTTTCTAAAATGTATAAACTTAATGAAAAATGAAATTGACATTATATATTAAAGACTCATTTACCTTCAGAAGTATCATGAGCTACACAATGTATAGCAATAGGAATAACTTCTTTGTTAAATGCATAGGTTAAGTCTTCAGTACTGTATATACTAGGATCAAACATATGCAATGGTTGAATAAATTGTTGATTTGAACCTCGTTTATAGTGATAAACTTCAGACGTCATAGATGGATCACGACAGTTAAAACTAAATAAAAACAAAATTTTACATTGAAATCCATCATACATCAATAGCACTTAATATTGACACTTACGTAACCCCACTTGGAGTAAAATCTTCAGTGCAGAAATAATATATTGTTATTGAACATGGTGAATCACAATCAAAAGTAAATTCTATATTGAATATAGTTTTACCTTCTTCAGTACGTATGAAACGCAATGATTCTTTTCTAATATTTACCAAACTTTTTAACGGTTTAGTAGGTTCCCCTACTTCAGGGGGAGGGTATGGAAACTAGATTTTTGAAAAAATAACATAAAAATTATTTTTTTTACACACAATGTTTTGTACTTATTTTTATAATTCTATAAAGAAAATTAAGGTTGCAGATGTTTGTATTTTTTTTTTTGATGAAGTTTAAGTAGAATATTTTTAACTTTTTAAAAGATATATACCCAGCTCAAATCAACCAGAACAAGAATATATGTAATTATATTGTGATTAAATCTACTTACTGTTGTAGGACATTTACTAAAAAAATTTAAATCCATATTTTCTCCAAATAAATATGCTTCTGGCTGTGGTGTATCAAATTTTTCACCACCCATAATAAAGTGAGTGCTAAAATAATTTCCTGAAAAGATATTTAGAAAAAACAAGAATATAAAACAAAAATTTTAAATATTATTGTTATAAAATAAATATTATAAAATTGAATAAATAAATAAAACTAATGAAAAGTATTGATATTAGTAATTGCATTTCATACGTTTTTATTCTTTAAAATACATTTGTGTATAAGAAAGTGAAGTGACATACATATCAATTATTTAAGTGACTAATAATTTCATAACGCTTTTGTACTTTCTAATCGCAGTTAATAACATTTACAATACTAAATGTATACATTATTTAAATGACTTTTCAACAAACCAGATTTGGGTGGATATTTATAAGCATTATTTGAGTTGTTATCCACTTCTTCAACTCTAGTGTTTTGTCGACTAGTAAATGCACCCATTGTACCCTACAACGATTGAACTAAATTATAATATTTCAAATAAATGAAATAGATAAAAAGGAATAGTTAATACTTTTTATTATAAAAGTCTAAACCGTAATATTACAGATATTCATTACATATAAACCAGCAATGAACTAAATACTATAATAGGTAGGTAGTTAATACTACTTACTAGTAAAACTTAAAACTAAACAAGTACCACAAATCACAACAGTGTTATCAACACATTATCAATATAGGTCGACAACGTTCATGTTATTTCAACGTTAACAACGTCATCTATGGATTTTACATTTGTTTTGATATACCCACCTTGGAAAATCGAAAATTTTAATTCGACCATAGCTTCATATCTATTATTTTTTTTTTTTATACTATAGGTAGACTACGAATTAAGATCTTAATTCGTGCTATAGACCACGGCTATAGAGAACAAAGAAAGAAGATTCTTAATAATCGTAGTATCGTACTATAGACACAGAAATATAGATAGAATAAAGAATATTAGATCTATGGATAGATCATTAAATAAATTATTATCATTATTTATGCCTTATACTATGAGAGAATGAGATAGACTAGGTGTCATATAGTTCATGTTATACCTGGAGTCTGGACTATAAACCAAGGTACCCATAAGTTTTATAGACACTACAAGAAGTAAGATGGAAAGTATTAAGTAGGATGTACCCGATCAAAAAATAGAAAAACTAGGTGGGTACTAGGAATATTTGTGGGTTTGTATTATATTTACAAGCTCGTAAACACTGAGCACCGTGTAGATATCATGTAATGTTATTATACTGATGTACTTGTACCTAACATTATAAAACTGAAAGTAAATCTAAATAAAGTATCAAGCGGGTACATAAATGTGGATAAACATGGGTACAAGTGGGTCGCTCTGCTGTGTAGTACCTAGGTAGTTATCGAGGATGTCGTTGTACCTAATGGATATGATATATTTAAATTCAACAGTGGGGTAGCAGGCTGAGGGAGCTGCAGCCCCCCCCCCCCCCGAAATGTTTACAAAATTAAAAAATTATTTTTATGGTCTATGGTATTCGATCAAAAACTAAACCACGGCTGTGTAAAAAATTGATCAGCCCCCCCCCCCTAAAAAAAATCCTGGCTACGCCACTGAAATTCAATGATAAATCATTGCATACGAAAAACGATTTTGAGCGGAAACATTATGTCATCATAGCATACTCTTATAAATAATCAAATTCGGTATTTACAAAAAAATTTAATAAAAATCGAAAATATCTCATGCCTATTAATAGCTTTCTGATGAACTTTTATTTTGTAAAGGTACATAACTTCTTTTACAATGTCTAATGTTAGCTATGAAAAGATAAGCTTTTATGTACTTCTAACTGAAAAATAATTATCACATTTTCGGGATTATGTTGAAGTTTGTCAAAATTTGAACTTTAAATGCATATAAAAAATAATCTTGTCTATTTGTATCTTTAATATTTTTTAACAACTATTAAAGCTCTTATGACTTTATGAGGACCCCTGTTCTAAATTGTTATACTTTTTCACTAAGTAAAAAAGTTTCCATGGACAATAGTTTTAAAAAAGTTTACAAAATTCGAAAAATTTCTTAATGCTCTCTCGTAAATAGCTCGAAAATAATGTTACCATACTTAGAAAATAGAAAATGCTAATATAAATACTTGGAGAAAAATTCAAATGTCTACGGTTATTCATTTTTAAGTTCCACCATAGAAATAAAATCGAATTTTTCAAAATTTCAATTTGTTTTTCACTTTTTTTTGTTTTTCTGAGACGCTTTCAAAAACTACTGAGAATTTTCAATTTTTTCCTCAGCAAAGTACCAACTACATTCATTTTTCTATGAAAAGATGCTGGTGTCGAAAATTGCAACATTATTACCACCCCAAATGTTGAAGACAGACAGAAAAAAACACACACATCATTGTAAATTACAATACATTCATACGTTATACTCAGAACCTAAAATATATTCAAAATAATAAATTAGGTAGGTTCATCAATATGTAGTTATCAACAAAAAAATTAAATGCTCATTAGTCATTATAATATTATATTGTAGGTAAAATATTGAACAATGAATATGGACGTATAGTAATTAGATTAGACTGTAGTACTGTACAGTTGATTATGAGATTCTAGGAGTTAACAAATAAAAGCCGTTTGTTATACAAACAAATTACAAATTCCATACAGTATCAATAAGAATGACGCAGCTAAAACGGATAATAATGTGTAGTAAGCAATGCATAATCTGAAAATAAAATAAGAATAATAAAATCTTAGTCAATATGTAATGTATGGTAAATATGCGTTACTGACTTTTGATTCCATTTTCTTCCTTCTGATAATGTTTCCATTGGATCTTTTACAATATACATTCGAATACCAATTACGTGTTTTTTGAAATATTCATTCCAACTCAATTTGGTTAGATCGAACCTGAAAAGTGTCTGATCTAATTTGGATAACTTTTGTATCAAAGACCTCGTATTATTATCGTTAAATGTCCACGATTTTAAACTGAAGTAAGATATGACATCGGAGAATTTGTGCATTTTTCTATATCCGTCCATTAATCTAAAATGTACAAAATATATATTATATTATATTTATCGAACAAAAAAAAAAATTATTATTTTCTAAGAGTCACTTACAGAGGCTTCTTTCCGACGAGTTTGGCTAAAGAATCAATTATAAATGCGGGTATGATGTGGAGAATAAAACATAAAATTTGGTATTCGTATTTATTTTTGGATAATCTCAGTAGAATTGGTGAAATCTAAAAATTGATAATTTTTTATTCGGTTAAATGCAATAATTTTCAATTTACATAATTGTCATTAACTATTATGTTTAAACCTATTCAAACCACATACCGCTTTTACAGAAGGCACTTCACATCCATACTTTTTGTTCAATTTTGAAAATTCTCCCCATGTCAATGGGTTGGCACTAGATGACACGAAATTGTAAATAGGTGCAATTAATGTTTCTTTTTCTGAGTTATCAGCTTTCATTTCATTAGAGGTGTTATGCTCATTCCTAAAATAATTAAAACGTTTTTGTTTATTTTTTAATGTTGATGCATTTCAATATTTTTGAATACAAATAATATCCTATCTCGTAGATTATATTTAATAGACAAGCGACGCCCAATCCATAATATAAAGAAAATTTACGAATTACATGATCTACCTATAGCCTGCTATAGGTATATACAGTGGGGTACATACGGGGGAAGGGGGGTTACGGGTTCACCCCCTCCCCGCCTCCCCCCCCCCAGGAAACAAAAATAGATATTATTGATGAATTTCTTAGTATTAATCATCCGTGCATACACAAACATACGTCAAAATAATATGACTATTGAGTATACACTATACTTTACCAACCACGCAAAAAGATTTCATAACGAAATTATGATTTATGGGTGCCGTTTATCAATCAAAATAGACATTAAATGTCATCAAATTTTGATCGTACACAGTCAGTTAGCGTGCGGACATAAATACATATTAATATTGTCGTTATCTCGACCGACTCGATCGGACACATAGACGTATAATATATTATAATATTATACGTCTATGATCGGACAACGGAGAAAAAACCAATTGCGTTATAATAGTTGAATTTCGCGTGAACGACAATAATACGGTGAAATGGATTCTATTTCTATAGCACTATCGTAAATGATCATGTTAAACGTTTTCGTTAAATAATATTATTCATTTTTTGTTCGTTCTGTTCTATTCTATTATTGGAGAAGTTTAAATTTTTGACATAAATTTAACTCCATAAACCATAGGTAAGTATATAAATAAGATTAGTTAGAGTTTATAATATTCAAATTGTTTATAAACAAAACATTAAACATTAAGCATTTAAAATATTAAAATGAATTATAAACACACAATACTGGGCGAGTTCATGATTTTTTTTTAACTCAGTTAAAGGTTTTTAAGTACAGAAGTTTTAGATTTTAGTGTTGGTGTTTATTTTTTCCCGAAACGACGACGTCGATAACAATAATATTATAGCATAATGTATAGGTAAAAATGTATTGTTATCATTATCATTCGTTATATTTTAGGTTTTGAAGGTAAAGTAAATAGTAATCATGGCTGAACAATTATATGTAATTAATAATATAAAATATATAATATTCCGTACTCGTATATACTATGTGCATATTATAGTAGTAGTATTTTACTGCCATGAGTTATGTAAACCTTTGTATTTGTTTTTGTTATTTTGCCCATTAATATTTATAAGTATAATGTGTTTGGTTGTTAGAAAAATTGGTAGTTTTGAAGAGAAGGTGTTGGTTATTTTTTTAAGCCCCTCCCAGAGCAAATTTGAATGTACGTCACTGGGTATATATAGGTACTAGCATTGATAATAATTAAGAGTGACTAAAATAAATGGTAGGTATTATAACACTAATCCTCGGATAAAAATGTAGGTTTGTACTATTATGTTTAAAAAGCAACCGAGTAGGTACCCGCTCTGTTGTTGGGTAAGTGTCCAGTGTCTCGTAATAATTTATTTTACAATTAGAAATGCGGACATACAGTAGGGGTAGGTCAAAAACTTCACTTGCATAATATTTTATTTTATACCAAACCTTACATGTATTATCTTATAAGTCAAATGTATTATAACACGAAACGCGAAACATGGAGAGTGTGGAGTGACCTTAACAAAAATACAAGGAAAATCCACTATAGTTGAATAAGTATAGCCGTATAGGTAGGTACCTATATGTCCTATATAATATAGTAAATATATTTATCTGATGATTATCGGGGCTGTATGTCTATAGATGTTTCTATCTTTTAATTTGTATATGGAACAAAAATTTATATTTTCGGACTTTTTGTCTGACAATAAAAATGTGATCGGACATTTTGACCAACAATAAAAAAATGAATCCGGACTATTCGTCCAACTTTTTTCAAAACGGTCTTTTTGTCCCCGGACTTTTCGTCCGGGATTCGATAAATAGGTACCTACAAACGTTAATTTTCAAAATTTTATATAAAAATTGTGTCAAAGTATTTTTTATATTTTTAAACTTATAAAGTTATAGGAAACGTTTTATTATATTTTAAAGCTCCTCAACTTCAACGAAATGTTTTAACATAAATTAAAACAAAATAAAGAGTAAACATTTTTTGATATCTATGAAGTAAAAATAGAAGTAATTATACCTAATCATTTCTAAAAAATACTAATATATATACATATTCCGAAATTCAGTTAAAAATTCAATTCTATACAGTTAGATTTACAAAAAAAAAATACCGTAAAATTGATTTAGTTAAACATTTATGGTACCCAAAAATTACCATTTTTCCTCAATTTATTTTAGTTTTTTTCGATTATTTGGATTCATAGTATGCATTATAAAATTAGTAATGTATGCATTTCATTTTATAATAATATGCTAAAATATTCAATACAAATAGCTGGTATAGTAAATTAGCAAAATATACAATGAATTTATCAATGATTTCCAAAACTATTAATTACTAAGTCAAAGACAATTTTATAATTTTAAAATAGATCGAATAAAGTTACTTTTTATTCAAGCTAAAGTATTTCAGTTAGTATTTCTTTTAAACACATTGAATTTTAAATTCATTTACATTTTATTTGTCGGACAATATCACTGATTTTAAGAAATTATATTATTAGAAGCCTAAACATTTGTTCAAATATACAAAAAATTGTGTTCACAGTTAAAATAAAAAATAATTCTTACATAGGTAATGAATAATGATATAAAGCTATATCCATTTACATTACTACCTACCTACCTACCTACCTAAATTTGAAAAATAAGGCTGAAAAAATAAGCATACCAATAATTATAGAATATAGATCCTAACCTTATAGCGACGACAGATGTAAACATAATAGTAAAAAATACGCACACCAACACACAATGTCATTATAAAACTACATTCATCGTTCTGTTCGGTCAGAATCCAACCTGTTTTGTAATTTATTGTTATTTTTATTATATAATTGACGATTAAATTATGAAGGTTGTTTGGTTCTTGTTAAAATGTTTATTATTTCCCGTATTAATTTATGGGGATTAGCAGTCAGCCTAGAACACCTGAACACGTCCAACCGTTATTTCCTATCGTAGAGTTATTTAGATTTTAGATTTTATATAATTTATAGTTATATTATTGACTATAATATAACTATAGTTATTCGCACGATTTTACGATACGTCGGTATTGAATTATAAGTTAATAATTAGTCAATGGCGTAATTACCGGGGGGATTTTCGTGTCGTACACCCCAAGACTTTTTTTTAAAAAACTGACAAATCATATTGAAGTACGTATTTAACTATACAATGCACATATTATTATTTTTTAAGTATTACTGTATTATATATTATATACTATAGAATATTTTATAGAAATAATAGTACATAAAAACCCAACCCCTATGCTTCCATCAGAAATTGTCGGTTGGACTTAGTTTCAAAGTAATAACACTAATAACACTAATAAGTGTAATAACCTTTTGAATTTTGCAATTTTGAGTATTTTATACCTATGCAGATTATTCCACAAAACTATATGATCTTTATTAAATAGTATGTAATAATTTATTTTAATGTGTGTGTGTGTGCATTTATACATATATCTACTTTATACAGATTAAAATGGTTGTACTGAGAGGTTCTTAAGATGCAAACCAATTTTTTTAGGGAGGGAAGAGGTTAATGTTTCAATCTTTTCCCCACAGACATGACCAAATCATGTCACAGTAACCATATCATTCGTTTTTTTTGGTCAAAAAATTAGTTTTATCATATTTTTGTATTAAGGTCTGCACACACTGCTCAGCGGTATCGGTAAATTGCGTCAATCTGTATTTTACCAGTTAGGTACCACTATTACAATTTGCCACAGAGTGAAGAAGAAATATACTTTAAATTATAATAATATAAATACGTTATAAATGTATTATTATCTAATTATCCTTATAGAAATATATGCTCAGAATCGTTTTTCGCGGGGAATCTTAGTTGCATCCTATACAAAAGGTATACTCAACTAATTGCCCCAATATATTGACGTACTATATTGGTTAGGTAGTAGAATTTTTATTTCGCTTTCAGGGGTTCTCCATGACGTATTAATTATAAAGGAGTCTGGACTTTAATATTATGTTTGGATATATTATATTACGTTCCTAAAATTATAAATTATTTAAAATTACGATAATGGATGGATTTTGTTACCGATTTCATAATAGCAATATTATTGATGAATAATAATAAGCAAATTTGTTTATAGTCACTATGAACAATAAAAACACGATCTCTATTCTACCTAGTACCTATAGTACCTATATATAATAGGCACTATAGTTAATGTATATAAAATAACACGGCTAGATTTTGTAAAAAGCTTATCTTATAAGTATAAACCTAATTTTTGACTGACATTTTGATTGATATAATTATTATCATTATTATTATTTATTTATTTTATTATATTATGAACTATATTGATTTTGATTAAATATGAGTGGTTCAACGTTTATTTACTTTTTTCTTACATTTAATAAACACATTTTTGATTGACTTGTGGTTATTTTTATAATTGTCATTTATTTATTTATTATTTATTTCACTATTATAGTCGTTAAGAACCTCTGACTAAAAATACACGAATTGCGTCCTGGATTTTTGTATACCTTTTTTACATGACGCAACTCATGTGCTCTGCTCTTGTTTTCGTGCGTATACAACTATACAATGATTGATCATTGAATTAAAATTTTACGCATCCATTATTATAGTGGCCTATATTATACTCAATGAAGTGGTTACACTATGCAACAGAGTGAGTTACTTGGTTTTTATTTATACATATTCTATTGTTTTTAGTTATTGCCTATTGGATATGTAGATAGTTGTTGTTTGTGAGCCTAGCCACATTATACTTTATGGAGTTGTATGGCTTATAATTACCATTGGTTGTGAATATCCCAAGCACAAGCCAACACAGCATTGCTAACGTAATCTCCAGGCACGATATCGGCAGTTTTACTTGAATCGGCATGCATGCATCTCATGAGACCAATGCCGGTGGCTGCTACAACTCCCGTTGGCCCATAGAAATTGTTGATCCATCCAGGTACAGGCTCGTTATCGGTGGCGATAACTGCAATTTTAAAGACGAAATGTACATTGATATTATGTATAATAATTTATAATTATAACTTATTGGTTATTTCAGCTTTTAGTTATTAGAAAATATAAAGTTAAAGCTTAAAAATATACTTTAAATAAAATATAAAATCCAATAACATAGTATGCACATTGCAATATTGTACTTACTCATTGACGGTCTAATAACTCCAATTGGCAACCCTTTGCCATAAGTCACTATTTCGCCCTCGGCAATCGCTTTTGTCATCGAGTATGTATTTGGCCATTCCCCTAGTAAACTGCACGGATAAAGGATTCACACGCTCTAATTATTATTATTTTAATTATTAAAAAGTATTTAATAGGTATACCTAAATTAGATAACCTAATATATTATAATGTATAAACATTAGACAATATATTTAATTATGTATTATACATTTAACATAATATACAACATTATAATATGAACTATGAAGTAGCGATGGCCGATGGGCATAAAATCCGAGCATTTGAATTATCCGAATATCTGGATATTCAAACCCAGATGATATCAATTTATCATAGCTTCAACAGTTTTCATAATTTATAATTAACTACCAAAACAATATGTTATTTTCATTGTCATTGTGTGTGGTCTTGCAAAACCACGCACGCGATGCGTGATTGGTCGTATATTAGTATAATATTTTATAAGTGAAAAATGTGGTAAATTTCAACAAAACCATTTAAATACTTAAATAATTGTTTTCATTGCTAAACGCAAGACAGCACTGGTAATTAAAATGCATTAGAAATATTATATACCAATGTCCAAAAATTATGTTGTAGAATTAAAATATTATTAGTTTATAAAAATAAGTCATTGAACACCAAAATCGTGTTGAATAATCCGGATATGCCCACCACTAATATGAAGTATATCAGTTTTAACAATATAATTTATTTTTTACATACTTGAACAATATTTAACTCTTTATCATGTTTATTTTTTAAGTATTTTTCATCACAATATATATTATACGAAACACGTCATGAAAAAACGAAACAGACCTGTATATATTATTAGGTACCTATTATGTATTTTATTATTATATCTAGTTATAAAATATTATATCATAATATTCAATATACCTAAGTGATATTTCCTAGTTCCAATACATCTATAACTATATGGAAATATCCTGATGCGTATAATACATTATATTATTCTGTAAAATATTGTTCTCAATGTGAACTACTTACGAAGGTGTAATTCTAGTGATGTAGTCGTCGTCCAGACCGTTAACGACCTGTAATAACTTGTCCCCAGTTATAGGTGGTTTGTAGAAAATCTCATCCACAACTTCCCTTCCAGCACAGTTAGAATAAGCAGTTGAAATGTGAACGAAAGCCTAAATCAAAAAACCATAGTAATAATAAGGGCACATCAAATTCAATTCTTAATCTGTTCGTTTTACTTTTAAGTTTTTAATTTTTTGGCTAATTTTCAATATATCTTGTAAGGCAATTATATTAATATTGACAGCAATTCTTAAATGTTCGTCAAATCGTACAGTAGCAGCAGAGTGTATTACTATGTTTACCTTAGTTAAAAATGATTTTATTAAATCCAATTATTTACAATAGAAATTTATAATATTACAAATTACTTCGTCTTTAATAATGTTGATATATTTTTCTTCGATCCCCATGTTTGGCAAAGCACAATCACCGATAACTGCAGTGATTTTTTCCAAAAAGTTCGGTTTTTCTTTTTTCATTAATTCAAATACCTGAAATGATTCCTCACATTTTACAAAACGAAAATTGTTTACAAATAATCTGGGCTAAATATTAAAATTATAACATTATGAACTTATACCGAAATTAATAATAATTTTGAATTCATAGTTTTTTTCTTAACTTTTTAATGGAAAAATAATAAAAACATTAAGGTTCTTACAGGGTCATTGAAGAGTTCCTTGAATCTTTCTTCTGTAGTTTTTCCTTTTTTCTCTCTGATTAAAAGATAAATCTTTTTCACTCCTGAACAAGTCCTTTAAGGTAAAAACAAATATTTAAAATAAATACTTGTTGAATTCAAATCAATAGTAAACCTTTTTTATGTTTAACAATTCATTTTTGAAACTTATTGTTACAATATTACAAGCAATTATTTATCTTAAATGTTGTAAGTAATATCACATTTACTATTTTTTAACATCAAAATAAATATAAATATATGTATAATATGTATTATATACGTAATATTATTAAATATGAACTTTTTAAACTTTCTTTTGTTTTCCTGAAAACTGTTTTAAAGTTATCTTTGCAAACTTATAAAGTTGGAAGTGGAATTGTTTTTGTATTTATAGAAACAATCTTAGTTTAGTTTACGCAATGAAATAAAAAATGCCTTGTTGAATAATTATTAAGTAAATGGATAAATGGTTTAGATAATTAAGAATACTATACTAATACATATACCAATACTTACCCACATATAAACACTGGGTGTACATATATTTAATGAATTATTTTATATGTTAAAAATAAAGGCGAATTCTCACCTAATTAATTTATCCAGTATTAAATTTCCCATGAATCCAGTACCACCTGTTAAAAATATTGTCGTATCATTGTAAAATGATTGAATTTCTGATAATTGAGTTGTTTTTTCGCAGTTTAATTTGCAGCTATCCATGATTAGAATATCGGGGCAAAAAACCTGAATGAAACATAAAATAGGTAAAAAATTATAGAAAATATTTAAGTAATTACTTAGTAGAAGTATCAGGCCAAAGTTATTATGTGTATAATGTTTCAGTGATCGAATACTAGGTAACTATGTTTTTATTTTTTATAAATAATTGATTTGAAATCTTAAAATTAAAGTAATATATTATCAAGATCAGTATTATATAATCATATATACTTAAACATATTAATATTAACTTACATATGCTTAAATAACTTGAGAAACTTACAACTATATTATAATTGATAATAAGTTGAATTAATTAATACAGTCTTAGAATAGAAACAGCAATATAATAATTAAATTGAATGGAAAACATTTTAGAAATTAAATGCTAAAAGTGTTGAACAATAATTAAATAAAGTACAACAATTGTGTGAAAAAATTGAACGAATTAGATCTTGAAGTATAAACAATTAATACAATTTATTTTTGATCAATCACACATATTTTATTAGGCATTTAGAAAATAATATACATGTTTAAATGAATCATTTATAATTGCATGTTATATTTTCTAGATTATATATTTTTTCATAAATATCAAAAAGTTTAGTTTAAAAAAAGCCAAAACAAAATGTAAATTCTAAGGTATAAACGTAAAATAAATGAGTTATTGTTATTAAAATAAGAGTTGAAATTTGAAACTATTTTGTATAAAACTTATAAAACTGTATTACCTGCTGTGTTCAATTTTTTTAATTTTTTTTTTTTTGAATCTTTATGGTTTAGTGGAAACTTCACTATTCGAACGTGTTTAATCAACAGGACAAAATATCGTGTTTATTCAAGATAAAGACATAAATTTATCAAGTATGGTATTATCATTAAAATATACACAGACACAATATTCCCAATAATGTAAAGTTCGAAAAATGACTATCCGTCTAGCAAATTAGGCTCATCCGTTTGCTATATAGTTCAACGCGGACTGCGCCGATTCTTCATTATACATGAATATTTATAGTATTGTAGGTAAAGGATATGGAACATTTATCAGATTGCAGCATGCAAACGTATATGATATGCGTATTGACCATGAAATCTCAACCAGTTTGTTTTTTTTATATATATAAAAGTTATAATGTTCTTAGGTACTATATGATATAGCTGTGTAGCAGTGGCGAGTCTACACTGGCGGATCCAGGGTTAGAGGAACTGTGAGTCAACCTATTTCAAGATCTTAAAAATGTAGGCAAGCTGGTTCGGTACATAGGTACCTACTGCTGCTATAGATACTCTGCTGTATATTGGTGTCGTTCGGGACACTATAATAGATGTATTAAATTTAATTCAACTACACAAAATATTTGTATACGAAAAACGATTCCGAGCTGAGGCTCAGGACTCAAAGATTACACTCGGTCAGTAAGACAGCCTATATTACTGTTAATTTATTTTTTGTTATTTTTGATATTAAAGTAATTTATTTTACAATATTAGTGAATAAAAATATAAAATACAGTAGGTTGGTTTATATTTTCCAAAAACATTTGAACTTAAAATACTTAAAAAAAACGTAGCTATATATGTATCTTTAATATTTTTAAACTACTATTGTAACAACTTATGATGAACCCAGGAACCTTGTATTACATTTAGCTTTTAATTAAGCTAAATACTTTTGATATTATTTAAATGATAAATGAACAAGTTATGAGAACCTTTTTTTTAATTTAAAAGTTTTTGACCGAACACACAATTATTTATGGACAGTAATTTAAAAACATATTTTAAAAAAAGCTCAAAAAGAATCAAGACATTTTAACATGTTTGAAAAATGGTTTTATAAAGATTTGGTGAACATTTATAGTATTTACGGTTAAGAGTTTTTGAGTTGGAACAAAAAAACAAAATAATTTTGGTCAAAACTGGCTTATCCTAAATATTCCCAGTTTTTATTAATTATTTTTTATTCTTTTGTACACTTTTGAAAAGTACTGATGACTTTTTACTTTAGACCTTCATTCCAACTTGATTAACTCTCTCACCAGAAAAGATGTTGAAGTAGAAAATCGAAGCATTTTTATTGTCCCAAAAGGTGATGACTGACACAAAAAAAAACCACGCCATTGTAAAATCCATACGTAGGTGGCTCGGTTTAGAATCTAAAATTGGTTTGTGTATTCAAACAAACAACTAGTATTTCAGTTTTTGTAATTTATATTTATTGAAAACTGTAGTATTTTTTTATTAGAAATGCAATGAAAATTATAAAAACATAATATAAATAAATATGCATACGTATTATGTACAACTTTGAACATTTTGGGTTGATTTTGGTGGCATGAAGTGGTGGGGAAAATGATTTACAAAAAGTTAACAATATTCACACGCACATATATTAACTTTTATAATTACTTAAATCTATAGTCAATTATTACTATAAAATCATAGAATAGAATTGAATTGAAACTCAAATTATGAATCAGTTACTATATTATACTTCATTTATCAACCATATTAAAATATTTTTTTTATCACAAGTAATATTTTTTTATTGTACCATACTCAGTAGTCTCCTCTTTTAACATTTAAAGAGAAAAGATGAATTTTCAATAACTAATCCTATAAGTAATCTTAAATACTTTTTTACATAATGTTTAATTTTTGTGCAGTTTAAGCTTCGCAAAATATTTTTTTTTAATATTAGTAAAACCTGTTTTTCAAGAGTTCCAAATTTAAAAAATATTGTTGAAGGATAGGAAGTGAAGTTTATCGCATTAAACGTGTATAATATTATTATATAGTTGTACAGAACATTTGATTATAATACCACATTTTTTATCTATTTACATATTAAGTTTAATGTATAAATATGATTCCTTCATCCTTGTTTTCTGCAGTGTTTCAGTATATTCTTCTATAAAACATGTTATGCTGAGTCATAAAAGAACTAGTTTTTATTTGATTATTATTAGTTTATTTTAGATTTTAAGCAGAATATTACATACTCGATAATTCAAAATAAACAAAACAATTAGGAAAACTTGAATTTCTACACACAACTTAGTTATTGACTAAATCGATTTTACTTTTTTGTTCCTATTCTAAATTAATTAAGCTGTAAACTTGACAATTCATTGAAAATGTATTCTAGCCCTAGGTAACCTTTATTAGACATGAAAAAATTTATAAATATTTTTGCTCTTTGTGTGCTATTTACCTATATATATTTATTAAATTGTTGAATGTTTTTCTTCGATTTATATCATATAATAATATTTTAGTTTGCCAACCAAACATATTCCAAGCATTCCAAAATATTACTCTTCACAAAATTACTAATGCTCCATCAATAATAAAATTAATTTAACTTATCGGCAATTCCTACGAATCCTACCTCAACGATAATCTTCTCGTCTTATACTGTTGTTTAGTAAGAGCTTAATATTCAATAATTTCAGAAGTGTGTCGATCGGGCGGTTGTGTATCATTCCGCCGAAATTACTTTTTCACCTGTAACAAACTTATTAATTTCTCTGGCTATCGATTCAGTCGAATCTTATATGTTGATTCCGTTGATTAATGTTTACAATAGTATATTATTCACTTTTATTAAAAAAAAGATGATGGGAGATTAAAAAAATCCATGATAATTACATTGACGAAACATCTAAATTTAATCCGAAAATATAAGCATCGTCTTCAATATCATTGAAGCAATTAACAGTTGCGAATCATTCCATTCAAAACTTAAAGTACAATTTACTCAAGTCTAAAGCTCATATTTTTGTTTTCAGATGTATTGAATCTAAAAATACAAACTAATATATAGGTATAACAGAACTCAACATACTATATAAAATTAGCAAAAACAAAAATTATGGAATTAAAAAAATATATATAACATCAAGTTTTGATTATTTTTATTTAAATAAAATATTGATGGATTCACTTATAGTAAACTGACATCAAATCAAATGATTTCAAATAATGACAGTTATATTTAATTTTGTAAAAAAAACCCACGTCAGTTGTCAGTATTGTATTTGTTATTGTATGTAATTCGATTTGTATTTGATATCGTACTGTTTAATTTTTGCTATATTATATTATATATGTAATCGATAGCCAACGGAATAACCATTTACAAATTTCCGCCGGAGTTTATAATACCCCTGATGATAGTCACACCATAAATAGTGATTCTACAAACTCATCTGCCAAAAAAACTAAAACTCAAAAACTGAAACTAAAAAAAAAATTTGTGAAATGAACCGCTCGACGCGTTTTGTAGCGCCTCGTGAATGTCGTTATTATCCACCTAAAAATATACTTAATTACAATTTATAGTATAGGTAAACTACCTTTATAGTGTATACCAGGCACCGGCAACCCGCGGCCCGCGGGCCGCATGCGGCCCTCGGAACTTTTTGCTGAGGCCCTCCAAATATAATTCATGGTGTTTAAAATTTTAATTTTGTAGCTTAAATTGTTATAAATATATAAATAATATTTAATCAATGCGAGATAAGCTATGATCGAAAACGTAATCTAATCTTAAGTAATGCATATATCGTCGATTATGACAAATACGTATTGGTTATGGCCTTAGTGGCTTAGTGCAGTTCGTTTCGAAACATTCCAACGTGAAGTTTAAATTACAACTGTTTTATAATAACCTATCAATTCAATGTCAAAAAAACGTAAAATTAGTGATGAACATCGTACATTCAACGAATCATGGACGGATTTATATTTTTTTATCGAAAATAAAGGTAAACTATTATGTTTAATTTGCAAAAAAACCATTTTAACTCTAAAAGAGTATAATGTTAAACGTCACTATGAAACAGAGCATAAATTAAAATTTGACACTCTCACTCATATCTTAGACAGATTAAAATAAACAATTTTAAAAGTTCATTAACTAATCAACAAAATAGTTTTAAATTACAACATAATCAAAACGAATCAGGAGTACGAGCTAGTTTCGTAGTTGCTGAAATGATAGACAAGTGTAATCGTCCATTCAACGACTCTGAGTTTATAAAAAAATGTATGTTAGCCGTTGTAAATGAAATATGCCCTGAGAAAAAAAAAACAATTTGAAGACATCAGTCTCTCAGCTAGGACCTGTGTTAGACGTACCGAAGAGTTAGGAACAAATTTAATATTCAAACTGAAAGAAAAAGTTTCTAAATTTGATTGTTTTTCTATCGCAACTGACGAAAGTATTGAGTATTGATGTTTGTGATACTACTCAGTTATTAATATTTATTCGAGGAATTGATTTTAATTTCAATATTTCTGAAGAATTAGCTGAATTATGTAGTTTGAAGGGAACTACAACGGGAGAAGACTTATTTATCGAAATTGACAAAACATTTAAAAAACTTGGATTAAGTTGGAACAAACTAGTTAGTGTTACTACAGACGGTGGTAGAAATATGAGTGGAATTAATAAAGGATTAATTGGGAGAATAAATGCGAAAATGGGGGAAGAAAGACATGAAGCACCTATGATATTTCATTGCATCATACATCAAGAGGCATTATGTTGCAAAGTTTTAGCATGGAAAGATGTAATGAATATTGTAGTATCGACGGTTAACTACATACGCAAAAATGCTTTGGCACATCGTCAATTCAAAATATTTTTGGAAGAATGAGATGCTGAATATGGGGATGTAATATATTTTTCCGAAGTAAGGTGGTTGAGTAGAGGTGTGGTTTTGAAACGGTTTTTTATTTTACGAAATGAAATAAATATTTTTATGTCAGAAAAAGGAAAAATTGTACCAGAATTATCAAATGAAAAGTGGGTTCTTAATCTGGCATTTTTAACTGATATAACAACTTTATTAAATGAGCTGAATACAAAACTGCAAGGTAAAAACAAATTGTTGTCAGATATGTATTCAAATATAAAATCATTTCAAGAGAAATTAAAATTATTACACAAACATATTAATGAACAGCACTTGGATCATTTCGTATGCT